CCACTGGTGTTACAGATCTTTAGGCTAGTCTGCCCTATTTTCACCTCCCAGTTCCAAAGCCAATAATCATTTTTGGTTTTCCTTCTTTTCCTCTTGGGTGGTTATTATCCTGCATCTAAATTAACACGCACTAGACGATGTATTCTCCTTTTACTGTTAACCTCTGTCTCTTCATGAGCTGTGTCTTCAAAAAGTTTTATCATCTTTTTATTTCCTTGTACTAACACTTTATTGGAGATTCCAATGACCGCATTATACTTTTTAAAAATTCAATAATTTTAGGGTTTCTAAGGAAAATGTCCTTCCCAATATCTTTTAGAATTGTTTTTTGAGCATCAACAATCTACACCTGACCCAGCTCAAAGTTGTTTCATTTTTGCATTAATAGAACTCATTTCCTCAAATGCTGAACACATCTACATTTTAAAATAACTATGATAGCTTTTAGTGACTTCTTTAAAAATGTGTGCTTTCATTTTTATTCAAAAACCTCTCTGGTCTTCACTCCCTTGGTCTAAGTTTAACTCCCTCAATTTATAATTCTCATTTGTGATAGAGATAGCTTATCATCTGTTCTACATCAAAATGTGCTCTCCAGAAGAAATCTGATATTATTCTATCAGAGTGTAAATTTAAGTCATAATGTTACCTTTTCTAGGTACAAGAGCCTTATCTCTCATTGCAATGTGACACTCTTAAGAACTGTTAAAAGATACTATTGTTCAAGGTGGAGAGAATGAGAAGACCCTTACCACGTATGACTCACACATCACCTGGACAGACCCCACCCAGACCATCAGTGCAGCCAGGGAGGCAAAGTTGTCACTATGAGATATTACTATGCCTTATTTATGAACTGGATTTGGTATCTTAGAATATTTTCTTTGAAATCGAGGCTCAAATTCTGGCTTCCTTGCTTCTTCATAGTGCCAATCTAGGTCGACAGGAGAAAGTGAGACCATTGTTTCACATCCCTCTTAAAAAGAGAACACTGCTTCAAAGAGAACACCACCACCTGACAAAAATAAAACAAGCAATCAGTCTTAAAACATTGTGCCTGTTAATCTCAACTTTTACAAAGATTCAGGTGATTTTAGGGCACTTACTCTGGACGATGTTCTATAGCTAGAACAATAGAGCCATCTAAATAAAAAAAAAAAATCTACAATTAATTTCCAAATATTTTTTCCTGAATATTAGGAAAGTACTGCAATGCTTCGAATTGTCCTCTTCTACCCTCTGGTATAAACAAAACCCAAACTTGAAAACATGGGAGTTAATTCCTTGAACAAAAAAATGAACTTTTATCCAAATTCCTTTAAAGGGTACTAAGGCTTTTAAATGTAAAACAGATAAAATGAACCATCCAAATACAACAGAATTAATGCTCAATAATGTACTTTTTAGCTATGCTGCCCTTTAAAATTTTTCTTTTGCTAATTGCATTTAGTGGTTGTAGAATGAAATCTGTTGCATTCCTCGATGGTCAACCTGGTTCATGAATTATCAGGTATCAACACAAAACCACTTGTTTATGAAACAGAGGGGTACATATATGTATTTTACTCAAAATTTTATTCGATATAATTTTAATCACTTTTACTATTTATACTTGTACCAATTTATATTATATTGCGTTCTCCACATGAACCATAAGCCAGAGCTAAGTATACTGTATTTGTAATATGACTTATGCTCGAAGATTTGACCAAATTCTCTTAAAAAAATATTTGCTATTGATTTTTTTAGAGAGAGAGGAAGGCAGAGGGGGAGAGAGAGAGAGAGAGAAACATCGATCCACTACCTCTGGCACACCTCCTACCGGGAATTTAACCAGCAACCTCCATATACCAGAGGATGCCCGACCAATTCAGCCATACTGTCCAGGGCTGACCAAATCTTTATGGAATGAGAATGTATCATTGATATTTACCCATTTTTGTCCCTTGAAAACAGTTAAACACATGGAAACCAGGTATGTGATTAGCTCCATATTCATCCATTCAGCAAATGTTTATTGAGTAACAACTCATGCCAAACATTTTGATAGTTCACAGAAAACAATTGTTAGCAGGACACGCATAATCTCTGCCCTTAAAAAGATAACATTCTAGTGGGGGAGTTTGTCTTTTAAACTCAACAAATGAATGAAATATTTACAAACTGTATAGTGAAGGAAATGTGCAAGGTGCTAATATATGGGTTGGTGCTGGGAAGGTGTAATTTCAGAATAGGACAAAAGAGATCAGAAAGAACTAGTTATGTGAAAAATGGTGGGGGTCAGGTATATTTTCTCTTCACTTCCTCACTTCCATCCCTAAAGTGAAATTTTAATTGTCCAGGTGGATACAATGGGCAAAGAGGATGGTACTGTACTTCCTTGGTAGTACATTTATATGCATAGTCTAACTATATGTGTACTTTTAAAATGTGTGCAGTGAAGTTATGGTAAAAGATAGTGGTTCTGTAACCACTATAAAATACTGTTGAGAAAAACTGTGAACAAAGTGAATTACTACAGTTTATACAAAGGTCCCTTCTCATAAGTGGAATTATGAGTCTCAGAGCCAGGACTGCAGAGGATGAAATATAACCCTTAGTTTCAGTATGTAAATATAACCTTGACTTCTTTGGGGTAAACTGGATGGGCCATGATCTGCAAGTGAGAAAGGAATATAGGATGTTAAAAAGAGGGACAAGTTTCCCCAAATGGTCTAATTCTCAGAAGTTGTCATTTGTTATCCTAAAATCTGGAAGCCACTGCCCCCTGCCCAAATCCCTCATTCTTGGGGAGACAGTCACCAAGTGTCTGAACACTCAGCCACTAGAGGGAGAGAGTGTGCCTCTGGTGATTAGGAAGCCAATGAAAGTAACTCATGGAAAGGATAGTCTTTCAAGGGAGCTAAATTAAGCTCTAATCAGCCAGGAGGCAAGGGCTTTATCAACTGTGGTAGCTTGGAGCAACTTTAGGGTGATTCTTGACGACTTCACAATGACTCGTCTTGTATTAAAGAATGAAGTTGCTTCAACTATCCAGACATTTCATCTTAATTTTCAATGTCTTAATTCATCTTTTCTAAGGATCTCCATAACTCTGTAGATACCTAAACACCTAGCCTTTGTTTTTAGGAGGGAATTATGACAATTTAAAGAAGTTATGTTACCCTTTATATACTGAGAATCTACATTCCACTCTTCTAAGATAATTTAAAATGAAAATATTTGCTATTTACTGGGATGATTAAAGTGCTTTGTGAAATTTCAGGTTCTTTCCCAAATTTAACTTCAAAAAAATTACTTTTATTAACGTAATTGACAGGTTTACAAAAAACTGGCTTTATTTACCAACATGTCACTGGAACTGCAATTTTTCTTAAAATCGTCATAAAGTCATTGACAGCCTGAGCCCAAATGATTTGCTTTCCAATGAATATTGGTTAATCTTGTTTTCAAGTATGGCACCAACTAGCATTTTTCATAATTTAATAATCAGCCTATTGGTTACAATCGTTTAATAAAGTTTTAAAAAGTAATTCATTATAAAATGTAAATAAAGCATTATACAAGTTATGTGGTATCCATTACTTGGTATGTATCAATGTGAATGAATTTCTTTCCCATCGCAAAATCTAAAGGAAAGACATGATCCAAAATTTTCCAGACATACATACTGGTGCTCAAGATATAGTTTATGATTTTATTTTCAATGTATCATTTTCTATCCTCAGCAGAAAAAAAAAAAAGAAAAAAAGAAAAAAGCAACTCAGCAACTATTTCTGGGATTCTTGAGAGGAGGGGTTCGAGTTCGGAGCCTGCTACTACTCTTCAGCATTGATTTTCTTCGCAAGCTGTGAGATGGTTTCTCAGAAATGCTGTTTGGCGGTCCTAATAATTTCATGTGTTTTTAAACTTAAGCCACCCAGACTACCCTGTTCAGTATTTTCCGCTCCTTTCATTTTCCTTTTCCCTTTAATTACAGAAGTCTCTATTCCCCCTTTTTGTAAATGCGGTCAAGAAAAATGCTAAATGCTACTACTCTCTGTAGCAAGAACAAGCATTTAACATGACGATCTATTTAAGTTCTTCCCCCCCCCCCCAAATAAAACTGTGCGATCACTAATTGATGCTATTGATGGGCAACACTTTGCTCCTAAGAACATTTTGGACCCTCACGCGTCCCTCTGACTTTGGTGGAGGTGGCGGCTGCCCGGGGGAGAAAACGCCAGCAAACACTCTAATTTTAAACTTGCACTGGAAAGCACTTCCAAAATAGTAATAGTTGAGCTTCATCTCAGACCTGAATTTCCTTCCCAATCCATTCCCGAGGACCCCTGTATCCTGTTTCGTGTCCTGCTCTATCCGGGTGCCGTTCACTGAAATCGCACCGCATAGTTTATTGCGAAGCCCGAGTGGGTGGGTCCACGCGCACAGCCCGACTCGGGCCAGGACGCCAGCCCGCAGCTCCGCCGGGCGCCCGGATCGCCGTGCGCTCCCGTCGCCCGGCCTCACCACAAATCCCAGTTGGGAAGAAAACTTCACGCGGCCGAAATGAGCCTCCCCTCGCCGCTGCAATCGTTCCTTCCCGCGGGGCACAGAACGTGAGCTTTATTGTGACTCGGGGGGAGTGGGCTGGGGTCGCGGTGGCATTCTCGGAAGCGGGTTACCTGGTGCCCCCGTTGGGGGCGGGGTCCGCCGGGCGGGGGGCGACGCCGCCGGGCGCGCGGGTGGGCGCGAGGCAGGGCGCGCGTCGCCGAGCCGCCGGGGCAGCACTTGTCCTGTAATCGATTGCCGAGCGCGCCGAGCGGCCCTGCGCGCAGACACGCGCCCTGGCCCGGCCGGCGCGCGCACACTCTCACACTCACACACGCACAGGCGCCCAGGCCCGCACGGACGCACGCACGCGCGCGCGCACGCACGCCCGCGCTCCGCTGCCCGCGGCCGCCGCCAGCCCGCCCTCCGCCCGCGGGCGTCTGCGCGAGCCCGGCCGGCGGGGGAGATGTGCTCCGGCTGCGGCGGATCGGTTTCTCGGGGTTTGACCAGCTGTCCCGGGCTAACCCTGCTCCTCGCTGAAGATGGAGGAAGTAAAAACAGGATTACCCTTAGCTACAGATCCACTGCCTTAGTTTCCACCACCAACTGCAGTGCACAAACACACGTTAGGCACAGGAAAGAAAGAAACAGAGAGGACACACTAACAGTAAACACAAACAAAAGGGTGATGGGATTATTTTACTGCATGCACTGCTGAGGTAAATCTCCGTTTGGCTTTTGCGTGGTGAAGAACAGCTCTTGTTTTATTTGTCTTCGTATTCATAGATTCTCTATAAATATGTGTGTCTGATTTGCAAAGGGGGGGGAGTGTTTTCAAAGTTAAGTGTAATTATATAGCATCTCGTTTTGCACTGTGATGTGATCAAATGACTTGTTGCTGTTAACCAGTAATAACAATAATAATGTAGATTTTTTTCTTCTCTGGGAGGGATGGCTTGTGGTTATGATTAGGGCGATAATGTCTGTAAAGGACGCTCAGGGAATCGGCTGGAAGATGATGTCCTCTGCCTTAATTTATCGTCCCCTCCTTGTAATCTGTTTCTGGGATGTTAATCGATTAATCAGTTCTCATCTCTGTAGCTGTCATGGATTTGGACTTGTTTTGCTTTGTTTTAACTTGAATTCCAAGAAAGACTGGGTAGCCTGGCATAAATTGCAGCTGTCCAGATCGAGGGTAATATTCGGGTCCTGTTGGAATTTAAAAACAAAACAAAACAGGTATGACACGCCAAAAAAAAAAAAAAGAGGCAGCAGTTAAATCACTTTGACAGGTTCTGGTATGGGCGAAAGAGATGGAATTAAGATTTATTTTTTATCTATTTATTTATTTATTTATTTGCCAAGGGCGAAAAACAGTCTTGGGAAGTTGGCCTAGGTTCCTTGCTGGGTTCTGCCTGACTGTCCCTCCCGTCTAACCCCCCCCCCCCCCTTTTCTTTCAGTTTTCTTGTCTTAGCTTTTGGTCGATTCTTAAAGAACCGGTGGATCAAGTTTTTTCTCTTCTTGTTAATCGCATTGCTGTAGCACTGACTGACCTCTCTCTCTCTCTCCTTTTTTTTTTTTTCCTCTTTCCTGAAAGTACGTGGTGCCATTCCTGAGTGACTTTTCCTACTAGACCATCCCAAAGGGACGAGGGGGAGGGGTAGAAGGAGGAGGAGGTGGAGGAGGAGGAGAAGGGGGGTGTTCCTTCTCTCTCATTTCTTGGTTTTGTTTATCAGCCGATCTGTTTGCTGGATTTGGGCTCGGAATGACCCACCTGTAAAGTGCTTTTCCTTCCTCCTCGCCTTGAACTCTGCAGGGGGCTTGGCTTGGAGGGGGGCAAGGGAGGGAAAGAGAGAAGGGGGGAACACAAAAAACTTCTTTCTTTCTCTCTCCGTTTATCTTCAGCCCGACATTGTCACCTCCTCTTTGAGGGGTTAGAAGAAGCTGAGATCTCCCGACAGAGCTGGAAATGGTGATGAATCTTTTTTAATCAAAGGACAATTTCTTTTGTATGTACATTTCGTTTCTCTTTCTCCTTTTCTTTTTCTTTTTCTCCTTCTCTGAGGGTTAATAACCATTTCACTGATGGGGCAGACTTCTTTCGCTTCTCCCTGATGTTTCTTTCTTTTTAATGTGTGTGTTAAATGTGTACATTTTTAAAGGGATAAACTCATTTGTAAAATATCCGAAGAAACTGCGCCCCTTTTAAACTTTACGGATGCCTTTCTTTAAAGCCTTATGTAATCATAATTTGAAAGAATTTGATAACAGTACAGCAGGTTGAAATTTAAGTGCTATGTAGTGGCTGAGTTGGGAATTTGATCTGATTATTCCAGAAAGAAAGAAAGAAAAGTTTTTTGGGGGGGGTAGGGAGGGTGGTGGTGAAGAAGGGGAGGGGAGGGAGAAGGGAAGTGGTTTTGGAGACAAGAAGTGAAGCTGCCTGTTTTCCAGTAAGTAATGGAGAAATTCCAGGAGCCAGGGCTAAATATACTTGGCGATCAATACAGAAATGGCTCATTGTGAATAATTTAGCTGCTGGTGCAGTGAGAGTTTTGAAACTAAAGGCAAAAAGGACCAGGGCCAAAGGGGAAAAAAAAGTAAAACCTCCTCAGGACATGTCAATTCTTTAAACTTTTTCCTTCAAAGAATACAGTTAGCTTATCGATCTTTTCATTATGTGAAATCAAAGCTAGGGGGTGTCATCTCATACAATTTACTTTTGTTTCTGAGAATTAAGTTCTTGTTTTGCGTCACTGGTGCATGAGAATAATTCCCCAAACTTTAAGAAAGTGATTCCCTTCCCAACAGCAAAAAGTTTATGAAATTTTCAAAATCAGTATGTATTAAGTAAGCTTGGCATTTGTATCCAACCACGGTCTGGCAAGGAAATTAAGGTTGCATTTAACAGGTGCTTACACAGAACTTGGGGTAGGCTAAAATGTCAATACAAGTTCGGAGTTGGGTAACTGCGGCAGGAATCTTAGAGACACTCTTGGGCACTAAGTTTTTTGTTTTGTTTTGTTTTCTTATGTTTGTTTGTCCTCCCCTCTCCCTCTTAGAACATGATGAACCAACTTGCAACAATTGTGAATAGAGCTATCTGTATACTAGGGAAGTCCTCAAACTGCAGTGTGATTGTGGGAAGTAGTGAGTGGTAAAATACTTAAATCCCGTTTCAAGCTGGCACGTTGGAGATGTGACCCCCTATTTTTTTTTTTTTCTTTGAACCAAGTAAATTCTAACTTAGAGAGTCATCCCTTTCTCGCTACAGCTCATCTCACAGCACACTTATCTTTCCTATCCTATCTCCAGCAGGAATCAGATCATTTGCAGAAAGAGTTCAGTGACTTGCAAATGAGCACATACAGTACACTGTAGTATGTTTCTTGGGCACAGGTTGCAGCAGCAGCAACATGGGCTAACTGCTTGGAGCTTCAAATAAGTTAAGCATTTAATGGCAGCACTGAAAGGAATCATTGTGTTAAGTGTATAATCTTTTGTATTTCAGCACTGCACTTTGACTATGGAAACAGAGGCTATTGATGGCTATATAACATGTAAGTATTCATTTTCATTAATTTTCTTTATGAGTAATAAAATTATGCCTTTATACTACCAGTATTTTAACTTCTCAATTCTAAGACTGTATTACGGATTCTATAATCTTCTTTTCTATCTGTTTGTAATTTCACCTTGAAATGAGTTTGAGAAAATAACATCAGACAGTGAAATAGAAGGAAATATAGAAATATCCTTACTGTATTAAGGATAACATGTAAATCAGTAGTAGCTTAGCAGATCCACACTTTCCTGCTTGATTATATTACCTAAGTTTACAGTAGGTCAGGTTACATATATGTCTACTAATATGGTGTGCACTAAATATTTACTGCTTTGTAGCCTAATTTTTGGACACATGTTGTGAAAGAGAATTAGTAGCTTCCTTAAGTTGACATGTTTTTAGCCAACTCTCCTTTCAAACATCCAACTTTCTGATAGCCAGCATTTTGGAAAATGCTCATTATAAAGAGTGTATGCTCAATGATTAAATTCGATTTTAAAAGAAACTTAGCTTTTTTAAAGAATACTTTAGGAATCAACTACCCCCAATTCCTCTTACTTTACAATTAAGATTATTGTGATAATGAAATTTTGTAATTTTTTTATTGTGGACTGGTTGTGGCTTTCGGTCATTTCATTCATTTACTATCTATTTCTAAATGATATTTTCTTACAGCTTCTTTTAAGGAAAAACATATTAGATTACAATTGCAAGGCTCTTCATGCCACTACATGAAAAAAGTTGGTAATTAGATTTTATGTGACAGTGAACAGAGACCAAAAGATTTTATTTTGTGAAAGCAGGTGACAATGAGCTTTCACCTGAAAGGGAGCACTCCAATATGGCAATTGACCTCACCTCAAGCACACCCAATGGACAGCATGCCTCACCAAGTCACATGACAAGCAGTAAGTCTTCTTTTTATGTTTTTTTCTTTCCCTATTTCTCTAGCGACAGCCTTGAATTTGTTAGGTCTGTGGGGTCCTCTCACATTGTGGTATAGCTGCTGCTATAGATTTTGCTAAAGAAAGAACAACAGAGATTTATTCCTGTTCATTCTAGTATCATAAAACATGAGTCTGCTTACTAGTCTGAACTATCCCAAGGTGGCATTTGGGAGCTGGTGCTTACCTGTATCAGGTAAGAAATGTTAGGCTCTTCTGGTTATTGTTTTGACTTGTCAGGTTTATGACTAGGTTTGTTGTTGTTGTTGTATTAAAAAAAAGAAAAGATGGAATCACGTCACTTCCAAAGGACTCTTCACAGTAAAAAATCAAATAATTTTATATTGCCTTGGTTCAAAGCTAATCCATCAGTGGTAGAATTGCAGTGTTACTTGCTTTTTTTTTTTTTTTTTTTTTAGCCTGTGTAAGTTTCTCCTCTAAAGTGTTGGAAGTGAAGTGTAATTGAAAATTTGTGGAACTCATTTACATCCATTTTTCTAACAAAGTAAAAGCATTTTGTTTAGGATTGTTCAGAGAAGAATTGAGAAAATTTGGAAGGATGTTTTGAACTTATAGGAATAGACAGTTTTGGCTACTGTTTTTTTATGAAGAGTCATTCATTGATGTAGTAAACATTTTTATGTAATAAAAGAGCAACTTACATGCTATTGTGACAGAAGAAAAAACACTTTAAGAATATGATTTGTTTTCTCTTATAATATTTTATCAGTTTAGTTACCAAGTGCAAATGCTCTAGTATTACTCAAACATAATTTGAAATCTTGTGTTTCCCTTATAGTTTTGGTGTATGTTATATTCTTGTACAGAAAGGACGTCTGACTTATATTTAACTTATTTAACTTAGAAGTTTTCTAATTGGGTGATATGTGAAGGCGAGGCATTTTCTTTCCTTTTTTAAGAGATGAAAATTTCCTTTCCAATTCTCTCTTACAGTTTTCAAAACTTAAGGTTACTATAAAGCTACTAGCTTTGGAAGTAATAAAGACTACTGAATTGTAAGCAAAAATATATAGAGTACTATTGAATACATTTTGCAATTCATTAACTTTAAGTGATTCTAGCTATTGACTTGAATTTTTTATTAAACTACGTGAATTTACTTATTTAATAGTTTTCTTTCTTTTCAGTAATGGGAAACACTTCCTAGGAAGATTTTATTCTAGAAGTAGTCATTGAAATTCTAGAAGTAGTCATGTAGAAAGAAAAATTAATAGTGAGTGAATGTATACTAAATTATAGTGCTAATCTCTTATAATGGATCCTGTAGCATTAACTTATTTTTGGCAGTTGGCTATTGATTTGGTAAAAGTTATACTATTAATGTAATCTAGTCAGTAAAATTTTTACATTTTAACAATGTTATTAGTTCTTTGGTAGAATAGATTTTTACTTCTCAGGTAATTTTTGTGTAGTTTCCTAAAGAGTAAAGATAGATGAATATGCTATTTCTATTAGCCAACTATTTAACTCTTGCCTTTAGAAATGTTGAATATAGGGAGTAGATATTAATGTTAATCATAGACTTTTGACTGTCATCCCCTAGCTACCACTAGAATATCAGCAGGAAAGTGTTTTTTAATTGGTTAATTGCCTCCTTTATTTGTGAATTTGATCCTGGCTTAGCAAGTACTGGCTTTAAGAATGTAGTTCACTCATTTATTTTAAATATATAGTGCAGAGTGCAGGCATGATTAGTTTGAACAAATAAGAGCTGTGCTTTTGACGTTCGAGCTTTTCACACCCAATAACAGTAAAATTGTGTTTGGTAAAGAGGGTTTATTATTTTTTTAACTTACTAGCCTGTGGCGATTTCATGTTAGTATGGTTTTTGACTAAGCTGCACGTGTTTTTGTGTTCTTTTCCAAAGCATTACAGGTTAAATATTTGGCTCTCACTTCAGAGCTGTCTTGCATCCTTTATGTAGCCTCTATTTACAGTATCTAGGTTACCCACTTAGGTTTTAGATGGAGAAGATACCCATTTTTCCTTTCTGTTAGATCTAGGAGAATATCAGCATTTGAGATTGCCAAAGCAGAAAGTGATAGAGAGAGACTCTTGTCTATTAATTTGAACAAGAGACCAAGAATCTGTCACTCATATTTTTCTGTAACTTGAAATAATTTTGTGTACATGTGACCTGCAAATCACTTGAGTCTGAAATCACTGGTTTTCGTAAATGCCTTTACATGCATTCTTGACTTTAGTAAATGAAAAGAACTTATTTTGTTTTTTGCATTCTTTATATCTTCATGTATACTTCCTGAAGGACTGTCGCTCCCAAAAACAGAATTGCAATTTTGAGTGAAAGTATTAAAGCCAAAAGTAAAGGTGACACTCTTTCTGATAGCCTTCAGTAGCAAACAGGAGAGGACAAGAGTATATGTGTAAGGGGGAAAGTTATTTTAAAAGTTTAGAAAAAAGTAAAACAATTTAAACGTTTGATTTGTATAAAATAACTACTATTCTGGCAGTAAAATATTGATAAGATGTGATAGTTGCTTTATTTTGGGTTCAGGAAAGGGGTCAGTTTTACTATAAGGTCGTAATCATTTGTTTCGGTTATGTGACGACTATTCTAAGATGAAGAGTATATGTACAACTTGCTGCCAGCTATTGTATAATAAATAATGACAGCAGCTATCATTATTTGACAGGGCTAGAAGAGAGCATCGGCGACTTGGGAGAGAACTAAAAATGTTATAATGACTGACAGTTTGGGTTTTAAAACTCAGTATGTAAGATAATCTTAAAAAGAAGTTAGAAGTATTAGTGGTCTTAGCATTTTATAATGACTGTGTCCTATGTTTTAGAGTGAATTTTCTTAGAGAACTTTAGACTTTTTCTTCTGGAATAAAGATCTCTTTGATAGGAAGGTGAGCATTGTTGCCTGAGATCATTAGTGTACATGTTGAGTCTGCTGACAATCTTCGGTGTCAGGGATGACAGTATATGCCTTGATGGCTACTGGAAATACACAGTGTTAAGTTATTTTAAAAATAGCTCCTGGAAGTTAAGAATCTGAGACAGACAACTCAGACAGAACAATATAAAAATAATCCATATTGTGTTTCGGCTCATCAGATGAGACTTGCTTTGTGATTCCTTCTGTTTCTGGTTTAGCTCATTTCCAGTTCTTGCAAAGTTGCTTCAGTATTGGTTTCAAATTGGTCTATACCAGCTGCTGACTATTTTGAAAAAAATTGGGTTCAAAAAATTGTAATTAATTTTACTTTTCTTATCATTTACTTTTATAATGCCAGTGAGTAAATTCTATTTGGAGATGGTTAAATGGTATGAAAATGTATCCTGACACAAACTTTGTTTCTAGTACTTTAAAATCTTTACATGGATCAAGTTAGAAGTCAATACTATTTATCAGTCAGTTTGATGGCCAGATGGCATGTATGGAATTGAAAGAAGTAGTAATTCTAGTTTTACAGGACTCTGACCAATAATCAGGTCAGGGAATCTGGTTTATCCTTTACAGAGTGCTTCGCATTTATTTATTTTTTTCTTAGCTAGTTTCCATTTTTAGAAACCAGTGAAGCAGAATATATTACGATTTCCATTTTTCGTATGTGGAAATGGAAGCTTCAAGAAATCAGTCGGCCTTTTAGGTCCTTTAGCAAAAGGAAGAAGTTGTCAGAATTGGGACATAAAACTGATATTACCTTGTAAGTTAGTTGGATTGCTTAACTGATATTTCTCTGCAATGCCATTATCTCAGGATCCCACCGTGTCCAATACTGTCCCATGTTTTGGTGATAAAAGCAGTATTCCAGAAGTAGAGAGAGTTGTTATGAGGGTGGAATAATATCAGATAGTCTTGCTCTAGAGCACTTTTAAAAAATAACTTATGTTATGGGACTCACCAGCTATCTGAGTTGTCGTCTATAGCTTAGTTTGGCAGTCACCCTTGGTTGGATTTCCAGAGGATACACCCTAATATCACATCAGGTGGGCTTGATGGAAAAACTTACTGTTTTGAATTGCAGTACTGAGGTTTGTGTTAAGATACCCAACATGTCTTAGTATTTGCTTGTTAGGAAATTTTTCTTAAAACGTTTGATTTGATTTCTTTACACCTTAGTAGAGGTTAGTGTCATGGCTGTGTACCAAAAGAAAAAAGAAAAAAGGAACCAAAGGAAGTATGTATGTGCAGGGAATTAACACCAAAAATGCTGTATTTTTTTTCCTTTCTACCCCCCCATTTTTAGGCTGCTTCAGAGTAAGAATAAAGGTTTGTCTTCGAGAAACAAAACAACTTATTATAGAAGTATTATTCTTATTGCCTCTTTTCCCAAATCAGTCTTCCCCACTGGAAGTAGATTTTAAAAAAAATTTTTAACCAGACTTATTAGACTCTATTGGGAGTCTTCCTTCAAGCCCCAGTGAACTGAGACCTCCGGGTCTCATGCTCTTCTCCCCTGACTTTGAATATGGATATATGTTGATCTAATGATATTCTGAAAGATCAATAGCAGGGTCACAGTCCTAAAATGAGTCAAGTATGTTATTTTTCTTTGCTCTTTTCCTTTATAACTGTTTATATCAAATCTGCTTATTGATCTGGTAGTCTTTTCTTCTGTGAATTAATCAATACTGAGAATATTTCTGCTTTGAACAAGGTAAGGGGTATTTAGGAACGGTTTCCCTTATTATAAATGTTTAATCACTACTGGAATGAGAGAAGGGAAGGGAGGCATAATTTCTGAGTGTACATAGGATGCTATTAGAACTATGCTATATGTATGCATATTATCTCAGTTTCCATAACAGCTCTGCCAGATTAATAGTTACTGTATTTTATAATACAGAAAACTGAGGCTCGGTAGCAATAGATTGTAAAGTGGTTAAAAATACGGGCTTTGGAGTTATATGGGCCTGTGTTAGAATTCTTACTTTGCCACTAACTTACTGTGTGACCTTAGACGTGTTACTTC